AATTGAAGTCCAATTCATCTTCAAAGAGCACTAGGTTGGCAAAAGCTGATTACAGTTCAGGATCTTGAGTTGCAAGATATTGTATGCTTCTGGGAGCGCTCCCTTCTAGTTTTAATTATTTCTCTGGCATTTAGAAACAAGCTTCTGAAAATGATTGCTCCTTAGATTAAGCTCTGGGTTTTCCCTTTCCACAGAGGAATGTATGATGATAATGATAATTACAAGAGGAGAAATAGAAGCAAAACTGGAAGTGAGCCAGAGTAGATTGCATTATCCCAAAAGCAACTCCCCTTTTGCACAGGATTAACCATGAGATTGGTGACTGGTAGCAGAATATTTTGGTTCTAAGCTAATAGCCAGTTTATATACAAGTATCTTGAAATGGGGAAAGCTTTGTGATGATCCCAGGAATGTAATATTGTGTAAGCATACAGAACAGACCTGCTGCATTTTAGTAGGAATTACTAAGGATCCAGCAAGCACCCTTCACAATCACAGGTGGGGATGGAGGCCTCTGCCCCTCACCATCGAGGTTCTGCAATTGATTTTGGGCTGCCTAGCACTCACAACCTACAAGTAATTGAATCTTCATGATTACGTAATTGAACTCCATGTATTCATTTTCTTTTTAATGTTGCCCATAGCAGCCATTCCCATATCTTGTGATAGTGAATTTCACAGGTTAATTACCTGCTGTTGGAAAAAGTTCTTCTTTCTGGACTGTTTTAAATCTTCTTGTTAGACATCTGATCAGATTACATTAGATTAGATTCATTGGATGGTCCTGCCTTAGCATTTTGAGTGAGGGGAGATATTTAAGAACTTCTAGTCATCTATCACCAGGCTAAATATGGTTTTATTGTCTTTCATCATGTTGTCCTACTCCAAAGAATCTCCAACATTTTAATCTTGGTTACTTTTTGTGTGCTTTTTTTTTTATACCGCTACTATACAGATAGTCCTCGAGTTACAGCCATTTATTTAGCAACCATTCCAAGTTACAACTGCATTGAAAACAGTGACTTGCTACCGATCCTCACATTTACAATCATTGCAGCATCCACACAGTCATCAAAATTCAGGCACTTGGCAATTGGCATGTATTTACAATGGATTCCGTATTCTGGGATCATGTGATCACTGTTTGCAAACTTCCCAACTGGATTTTGACCAGCAACGTCAGTGGGAGAGCCTGGATTTACTTAATAACTACTGTATTTTTTGGACTATAAGACACACCTAAATTTAGAAAAGGAAAAGAACAAAAAAATGTTTGTGGCCTCCCTTTTTTTGAGGCTTTTTTCGGCCCTTATTCGAGGCTTTTTTTAAAAAGGGGGGGGGGCAAAAAAAGCCTCAAATACAGGCTGAAAAAAGCCTCAAAAACGGGCTGAAAAAGCCTCGAAAATGGGCCAAAAAAACCCTGAAATGGGCCAAAAAAAGGCCTGAGAAAAGCCAAAAAAAAAAAAAGGCCCAAAAACAGGGCATGAGGAGACCAAAAAACGGCCAGTGAGTGGGCGCGGCTTCAGCAATATTCAGTCTATAAGATACACAGACATTTTCACCCCCTTTTGGGAGACAAAAAAGGGTGTCTTATAGTCCAAAAAATACAGTATATGATTCCCTTAACAACTACTCTGGATCCAGGATTCCAAATCCCGTCACTACCTGTTTGCTTGTGCATGCGCAGAAGCGTCCAGGCAGGTGGGTGGAGCCTCCTGCCACCGCCGCTGCTATCAGTTTGCCCGATCCAGTGCGAACCGGTAGCAATCCATCACTGCCTGGATCCCTTAATGAGCGTGACCAAAAATAATAAAAAAAAAAGGTTGTTAAATCAGATGCAACTCACTTAGCAACCAACTTTTTAGCAATAGAAATTCTGATCTCAATTGTGGTCATAAATTGAGGACTACCTGTATAGTTTTTTTCAAGTGCAACCATTAGAACTACACTCATAGTCCAGATGCAGAAATACTGCTGCATACTGAGTTGCTACTTGAGCTACCAACTGTGATCCCAATATCTTTTTCTTGGATAGTTTCGGACAGCTCAGAGCTCAAAATAAAGTTAGGGGAAAGATACCTCCTAGTGTCCCAAAGGTGCTTTTTCAAGAGGCAACTGGACTGACTGGACTCAGTTGAAGAAGCTTCTTGGATGTGAAGTGAAATGTCTTCAAAGAAAAACCAGAAAGTCCAGTTGCCTTTTGAAAAAAAGCATCTTTGGAACAACCATGTCCTAGATGACTGAGCATCTCCATAGACATTTATCTCCAAGGGGAAAGTTACCTCAATGTGCATCATTTTACACCTAAACTGAATCTTCTTTGCCATTTGGTTGAACATCAAAGAGATCTTTCTTTTACCACCTCAGTATCATCTCTTGACTTGTCCAGCTCACTTCTTAAGTTTTTGAATAATGTTAACTAATTCTAACATTTATCGTTGAGGGTCTTACTTCTGTCCATTAAAAAAGGCCATTTATTTTTATTCATAGCTTTCTGTTTGTAACCCAAATAGCAATACATAGAAGGCCAAATTCTGTTACCCCCACAGTTGACAAGCTTTCTTAGGAACTTTTAATGAACAGATTTTTCTGAAGGTTTTTTGAAAACCTAAGCATACAATGTTAGCAAGATCAGTTCCATCCATGGTCCATCTGGCATTCTTCAAACTTTCCAGTAAATTGGCTGGACAGAAGTTACCTTGGTGGATCCCATGTTGATTTCTTCCTAGCCAGCTTGCTCCTCCATGTGTATGTATGTGTAATTGTTTTTTGCTTTGATTGCCATATTTTACGGAGTATAAGATGCACCTTTTCCCCCCCCAAAAAGAGGGTGAAAATCTGGGTGTGTCCTATATTCTGAATGTAGTTCCACCCAGCCTCTCAAATGGAGGTTTCAGAGGCTGAAAAAAGCATCAGAAAGGAAGCTTCAGAAAAAAAGCCTCAGAGGATTTTTTTTCTGAAGCTCTGTTTTTCTTGAAACAGAGTTTCAAACTTTCAGAGGATGAAAAAAAAGTAAGGCACAGAACTCACAACCAACGAACCTGTTGCTAAAATTCACCTCTGGGAACAGCTGATTGGAGGTATTCTGGAGGCCGATCCACCAGCCAATCAGCTTTTTTCTTATTTTCCTCCCCAAAAACTAAGGTGCATCTTATACTCCGAAAAATACGGTATTCTTTTTTACCATTTGGGGGGATTTGGGGACCAGCCTATAATTTCCTGGATCTCCTCTGGATCCCTTTTTAAATCATATTGGCTACGTTCCAATTCTCTGGCACTGAGCTTCATTTGAATGACAAATTAGAGCAATTCCTCAAAAGAGTTCTTTTTTTGTTTTGTTTTGTTTTGAGAACTCTTGGATGGATGCCATCAGGTTTCAATGATCTGTTACAGCAATATTTCTCAACCCTGGTAATGTTCAGATATTTGGACTTCAATTCCCAGAATTCCCCAGCCAGCCTGAGAAAAACTGTGTTGCAGCATTTTCTCTCAAGGTGTCCTAAAGTATCTTCTGTCGTTGTCTCCATTTGCTTTAATTATTCCCTTTACTCCCTAGATAGATTAGATGATAGATGGATAGATGGATAGATAGATAGATAGATAGATAGATAGATAGATGGATAGATGGATGGATGGATGGATGGATGGATGGATGGATGGATGGATGGATGATGGATGATGGATGATGGATGATGGATGATGGATGATGGATGATGGATGATGGATGATGGATGGATGGATGGATAGAAGTGAGAGACACACACATGCAAAGACAGAGAGAGAGAGAGAGAGAGAGAGACGGAGAAAGAATAGACAGATAGGTTGGAATCTCTTTTCAGTCTGGTTGGGATAAGAGTAGAGAAGGAAACCAGAAGATATAATGTCATATAATCTGATATAGATGATCCTGTGAAGAAAGTCAGTAAGATATTTAACAAAATGAAATTCAAAGGTGAAAAAAGTAAGGTTTTACATTTAGGCAAGAAAAACCAATGCACAGGTATAGGATAGGTCAGTGATGGTTAACCTTTTCGGCAACAAGTGCCGAAACTGGAGCAGCTGCGCACGCATGCCGGAACCCGGAAGAGAGCAGCTGGCCGGTGCGCATGCCCACAGAGAGGGCTCTGCGTGCTACCTCTGGCACGTGTGCCATAGGTTTGCCCTCATGGGAATAGGTGCTACCTGGTTCAATACCGGTAATAATAACTATGAGAGGGATCTTGGAGTCCTAGTCAACAGTCACTTAAATATGAGCCAGCAGTCTGCTGCAGCTGTCAAAAAAGCTAATGCAGTCCTAGGCTGCATTAATAGTGGAATAGAATCAAGATCATGTGAAGTGCTAATACCGCTTTATAATGCCTTCGTAAGGCCACACTTGGAATGCTGCATCCAGTATTTGGTCATCATAATGCAAAATGTTGAGACTCTAGAAAGAGTGCAGAGAAGAGCAACAAATATGATTAGGGGCCTGGAGGCTAAAACATATGAAGAACGGTTTTTGGAGTATGTCTAGTCTGATGAAAAGAAGGACTGGGGATGACATGATAGCAGTGTTCCGATATCTCAGGGGTTGCTACAAAGAAGAGAGAGTCAAGTCCAAAGAACCTGAAGGCAGGACAAGAAGCAATGGGTAGAAACTAATCAAGGAGAGAAGCAACTTCTCCTTAGTTCTAAGGAGAAATTTCCTGACAGTTGGAACAATTAATCAGTGGAACAACCTGCTTCCAGAAGTTGTGAATGCTCCAACACTGGAAGTTTTTAAGAAGAGATTGGACAACCGTGTGTCTGAAATAGTATAGGGTTTCCTGCCTGAGAAGGGGTTGGACTAGAAGACCTCCAAAGTCCCTTCCAACTCTGTTATTCTGTTATATGGAGCCTGGTATCCCCACCATGATTTCACATTCTTTGCTTCTGCTATTAGAACGTGGATGATTGCCTAGGCTTTTCTTTATTCCCTTTATGGATTTTCTCTAATGCTGCTTTCTGTCTCCCTCTCTCAGAAAATTCGGTGGCTGCCAAATCGGGTGGCTGCTTCCCTGGATCCGCCTGGGTGAACCTGGAAGGAGGAGGCACAAAGCTGGTGAAAGACCTTCATCCAGGTGACCGAGTCCTGGCGGCAGATGTGCACGGACAGCTGTTCTACAGCGAATTCCTAGCCTTCTTGGACCGAGAGGACCCTCCTGTCCACAAACTCTTCTATGTGATTGAGACCCAAGCACCCCAAGCCCGTCTCTTGCTCACCGCTGCCCACCTGCTATTTGTGGCTCCACCACACAATCATTCCCATTCCCAACCCCAGCCTATCTTTGCCAGCCGTGTGCAGCCTGGACAACATGTCTACGTGCTGGCCCAAGGGGGTCAGACACTGTTGCAAGCAGCAGTGCACAGCGTGTCCCTGGAGGAGGCCTCGGGGGCTTATGCCCCACTCACCGCTCAGGGCACCATTCTCATCAATCAGGTGCTGGCTTCCTGTTATGCTGTCATTGAGGAGCACAGCTGGGCTCACTGGGCGTTTGCGCCTTTCCGCATTGCTCACGCAGCCTTGGCAGTGCTGAATCCTGAGGGCCTCTCCTCCCCTCGCCTTTTTCCAGCTGCTGTACCCGAAGAGGGTTCCTCATTGGCTGGAGTCCACTGGTACTCCCGCCTCCTCTACTACATTGGCCGCTGGATTTTGGGTTCTGAGATGATACACCCATTGGGCATGGCCAGCTGAGAGTGACAGCTGGCAAGTCCACTTATACCCATCTGAAGATTAAAATAGTACCAATGGGGTGGGGGGAACTAAGATGAAGAAAGAAAGAAAAAGAAAAAGAAAAAGAAAGAAAGAAAGAAAGAAAGAAAGAAAGAAAGAAAGAAAGAAAATTTAATAATAGTAGGACGCTCCAAAGTAGACTTCAAGAAACAGGAAGAACCCAGGAAGTTTTTGTTTTAGTTTATAAATATAAATATATATATTATATTTTTATTTGATTTATATTTTTTGTCTGTCTGTTTTGTTGTCCTCATCTCTTGGATATTTATTTGTTTGGTATTTTGAAATAGATGTTTTAAGGAATATGAACCCAACTTCAAGAGCCTTAAATAGTTTCTTTGATAATTTATTATCATGTGAATTGTACACTCACAGGGAAAAGCAAATTATTTTGCGCTGCCTAGCAAAACTGCACAGAGTTCTATTTTTCTATGTATGTCCAGAATTTCGAAAAGCGAAATGCCTCTCCTTCTTCCAACTATTCATGGATTTGCTCAGGGATGTCCGCAGTGAGCAGTGAACACAAATCAAGATGGCGGACGAGAGGATGTGATCGAAGCTCCGCCTACTTTTTTAAAAAAAACCGTAGGTAGAGTTTTGATCATACCTTAATTGCCGTCATTTTGACTTTTTTTGACAGACCCTGCAGACCTCCCCTCCCCCCCTCCGGATTTGATCTTTCCCAATAGCCAGACTCAGAACAAAAGACACAATGAAGGGGGAGGGGGGAATCCGTAAATTATATTTTTATATGCAGAATTGTAAATTCGTGGTTTTGTTTTGTTTTGTTTTTGAGAGAGAGAGAAAGAGAGATCAATACCTAACAGTCACATTTCAATTTTTTTTTGAAATAATGTAAGATATGAGAATATATTATTTTAATTTAAATAATATGAAATGTAATGTCATCTTCTATGTTTCTATTGCCTCTGAAATATTTTGTTTTGTATAAAAATAATAGCACGCTTTCATCTACATTCTTCAAACTCAAGACTGTTACACATCTTTATCCAGTGGGGAGGTGGAAGAAATTCTTATTTTTGTCTTCAAAATCAAGAAGAAATTTATGAGAAAATATTTTTTAAAATGTGCACAGGTTGACTATTATGGTGAGAATGGAGAATAGTTTGTACAGGCAGGGAAAGGATGTTTTGCATTAATAAACTGATAAATAACTGCTGTCAATTTACTAAAATGTATTTTTTGAATATTTTGTAATAGTTTTATAGAAATAAAATGTGCCATGCACAGTCTGGTTAGTATATAATAACAAAGCTTTTCTGGTTCATCACATTTTTTTTCTCTTTAAAGTCTATTCAGATAGAAAATGTGAATATCCAGTTTCAATTTATGTTTAATTTTGCTTTGTGGTCATATTTAGAAAAATTAAAGCAAGAATTTTTAAAGGAAGCAATAGGACAGTCATATTAGCTCGTTGCCTTTGCAATTAAATAAATGAAGCCTGATATTCTTAAGTTGTTACACCTCTCTGATTTCTTTCTCCGAGCTCAGAGATAGATATATTTGTGTCCATAATGCGGCCAAAAAGTAAAAAAAAAAAAATTTCCGTGCATTGTGTGCATGATGTACATTTTAAAAAAGTAGCGTTTCAATGATTGTGGATGGATTTGATATTGTCTGAGATGCAAGCAAATTTGTATGAATTGTTTTCCACTGATTTCATCAATGATTCTATGAAGCTGGGAGCGATATTCTAATATAATTTTCTCTGCAAGTACTATGAAATAAGTAATAGCAGCAAACTCAAGAAAAATTGAGGACTTTCCCATCCACTTTACCTTGCTGCATATTTAAAAACCACCCAATTAAATGAATAGGACTGGGGTTGGTTAAAATGTCTTTAAGTTGCTTTGACTACTATTGATCTACTGAAAATGTTACATAGCTAAATCCATCCAAAGTTATTCTGTGCTTCCTAATAGCTTGTTCAGAATTGATTGTGGGATAAAACAGAATGCAAAAATGTGGTTGGATCTCTGTATCTTATTCCTAAATTTCCCCCACCCACCCACCCATCTTCTCCCTAAAAGGGGCTTTTTCAGACTCTTTCCAAAACTAAATTTCCCCATTATGAGCAATGAGCAGAGGAGAAATACCGATGGTCCTTGATTTACAACCATTTGTTTAGGGACCATTAGAAGTTACAATAGCACTGGCAAAAGCGACTTAACAATTGGTTCCTGCACTTTACAGCTCTTGCAGCATCCCCACAGTCTCATGATCAAAATTCGGAGGTTTGGCAACTGGCTAACAACCATTGCAGCATCCCAAGATCATGTGATCACTTACAACTTCCCAAGTTCACCTTCAACAAACAAAGTCAATGGGGAAAGCTAGATTCAACTTACAATTGCAGTAATTTGCTTAACTATGGCCAAAAAAACCCAAAAAAAAACATGTATGTCACTTTCTTAATAACTGACTTGCTTAGCAACAGAAATCCTGGTTCCAATTGTAGCCATAAGTCGAGAACAACCTATATGTGTAACCATATCTTAGCCAGTGAAATTTTTTTTTTCTACATTTGGCGACATAAATCTATTTGGATTCTAGGAAATCAAAATCTAAGCCCCTTTTACATATTTTCTAATGTATTTTTCCTCTTTGGGCAAGGCTGTAGGAGCAAATAAGGGGCTTTGAAAAAAAATCAAGATGCATCTACAATCATTGGAGCTGTACTTGTTGTTTTACTTTTTTTCCCCACATTGTTCTTGTTAAGATAGAACAATGCGGGATAGACAGTAGCACCATCAGATGGCTTTGTACTGACTGACCAATCATATCCAGTGAGTAGTCCTTAATGGAGCTACATATGTGTCTAATTATGATCACCAAGGTCACAAGACAGATGTTACGATCATAGGAAGAGTGCAGAAAAGGGTAACAAAGATAATGAAAGGTCTGGAGGCAAAACCATATGATAAACAATTGAGTGAACTTGGCATATCTACTCTAACAAAGAGAAGGATTAGGGGTGATGTAATAAAAGTCTTCCAGTACTTGAGAGTCTGTCGCAGAGAAGAAGGGGTTGACCTATTCCCCAAAGCACCTGAAGGGTAAGAGAAGAAGTATTAGGTGAAAGACCATTAACGTGATATTAAACCTAGAACTAAGGGAAAAATTCCTGGCAGTGAGAACAACTAGTGGACAGCTTACCACCATAAATTGTGGGTGCTCTATCACTGGATGTTTTCAAGAAGATACTGGACAGTCATTTGCCCAGAGTGGTATAAGGTCTCCTGCTTGAGCAGGGGCTTGGACTAGAACAGGAGTCAGCAACCTGAGGCTCTGGAGCCGCATGTGGCTCTTTCACCCGTCTGCTGCAGCTCCCTGTCACTCAAAATATGCGTTGCAATTGCCAATGTGCGACACTCGCCAGCACATGATTTATTGAGCTTTTCAACCTCTGGTAGGTCAACCATAGATAGGTCCAAGAAAAGAAAAGTTTCAGAAGAAAACAGAATGTTTTATTCAACTACTTATGCTAGTTTTGTGGCCGCTCAAGAAATAGTTAGGTACAGGAAGGGTTTTTGTGGCTCCTGGTGTTTTCTTTTCTGTGGGAAACAGGTCCAAATGGCTCTTTGAGTGTTTAAGGTTGCAGACCCCTGGACTAGAAGACCTCCAAGGTCCTTTCCAACTCTATTATTTTAAATTCAATATACTCTTTTTAATGTGCATTTAATATGGAAGGTCTTCTTTGGTAGCAACAGTAAAATAACCTCAATGGTTAACAGTTTGGTATTCTTCAAGGACTTCTAAAACAGGTTTCCATGGCTGTTATTTCACTTTGCTCAGATGCCAAGTTTTAGGGCAGTGTTTTACAAATTTGAATCCACAAAGAAGAGGGGGTCAACGTATTCTCTGAAACACCAGAAGGCAGGACAAGAAGCAATGGGTAGAGACTAATCAAGGAGAGAACCAATCTAGAACTAAGGAGAAATTTCCTGATAGAACAATTAATTAGGGGAACAATTTGCCTCCAGAAGTTTTGGGTGCTCCAACACTGGAGTTTTTAAGAAGAGATTGGACAACCATTCGTCTGAAATAATATAGGGTTTCCTGCTTGAGCAGGAGGTTGGACTAGAAAACTTCCAACTCTCTTATTCTGTTATCTAAACAACCTAAAGAATCAAATTATAGATTCAGATAACTTCAAAGGGTTTAGATTTACTTCCTCAATTTTGTTAAAATGAACTATTATTCAGGATATTTATAACTGCTCCAAAAGAATTCTGTCTTAAAATCATCTAAATCTAAAAAGATCAGAAGAGTTCCATTTGTCAGACACAATTTTGAAAAAATGAACAGTGATTTATCTATTGGAATTTCACTCTCTCATCTAACATGCATTACAGCTCTTTTCTGACTGAGTGTGTGACATAAATGAGGTATGTTGATTGCTTGGCAAAACATTGCAAGAGTAGACACTTATTTGGAACAGTGTTGATAGTAAATTACAGGTGAATTGATTCCTGACTTCCTAAAACACTGATGGCAATATAGGCAGAATGTTCTCTTTTACTCTAAAGACTGTTTGGGGACTGTTTCCCCAAGCTCGGCACACTTGATACATAGCCAACGATAACTATTCTGGAAGTTGAAGCACAACAAAAGAAGTTTCATGTTTTGCCAAGTGTCAGGGCAGGGATAAGTCCAAGGAATTGGTTCTGTTGGGTCCAAAGACAATGAATAAATAAAAATATTTTAAGCTTTATTCTTAGCTCAAGCAAACAGATTTAAAAGCAAAAGCATAACATAAACAGTAAACAGGCAAGATGTTACCCAAATCTCTTATAAGTTGCCAGGAGTTCTTTAATGATGAGAGCAGCAACAGGACAGTTCCACAGTATCTAGCATTGGATTCCGTATAAAAGCTGCCCCAGAAAACAACAACCTCACAGGTTTTATCAAAACCTGCCACCATGACAACCTGGCCAGTGGTGGGTTGCTCCTGGTTCACAAGAACTAGTAGTAAAAAATTTTAGTAGTTCGGAGAACCGGTAATAACATTGGCTGGCCACACCCCCGAACCAGTCCCCGGCCCGGTCGCCGCTCGCTTACCCCGCCCACCTCATCAAAGGCTTTCTTTTTTTTAACTTTTAAAAGCATTTTTTCTACAACCTTTTCAGCTGAAAAAATGCTTTTAAAAGTTTTTTAAAAAGCCTCTGATGCTCGCGCGGCTCAGCTGGAATCGTCAGAGGCTTTTCAAAGCATTTTTTTCTGCAACCCCTTCGGCCGAAGAAGTTGTAGGGGAAAAAAATGCCTTTAAAAGCCTCTGGCGATCCCAGCTGACTTGCCTGATCGTCAGAGGCTTCTTTTAGAACCTTCTCTTAAGGTTGTAGAAAAAATACTTTTAAAAGTAAAAAAAAAAAAAAAGTTGGCCACGCCCACCCAGTCACAGTATCCCCCACAAACCACGCCCACAAAATAAGCCACGCCCATAGAACCGGTAGTAAAAAAATTTAGAACCCACCCCTGAACATGGACCTGTGTAGGACAGAAAACTGCAAGATCTGACATTGGCTGAGTGGCACATGACTTTGGGATGGGAATAGAAAGCCTGAGATTTTCACAGTGAGAAAAGCAGTGAGGAAAGTGAGAAAAGAATTAAGATTTCATCCGACCCCTTTCCTTCATTCATTAAACAAGAGTAAAACAAAAACAAAAACCCAAGCTCAGAATGAGCTCTAAACTTCTAGATTTTTTTTAAAAAATATAACGGACAATTCAAAATATGATACTATACTCCATGAAATAACAATGGTCTTCTACATTGCCACTAGATTTTGGAAACTCCTACACTACTAGCAGTATTCAGCCACCGCCAAAAAATCCGGCCAGATCTATCCGACTCGCGTGAACCGGTAGCGCCAGCAAGAGGAGGCTCCGCCTACCCACCAGGACGTCATTACATCCCGTTTTTGACCCTCTGTGCATGCAAATTAGGCTCTGTGCATGTGCAGAAGAGGCACACACACACATAGCAAACACACATGCATAGCATGCATATGCTCCCGCGCACTCCCATTCCTGAACTGGTAGCGAAGGTAAGCAGATTTCACCGTTCCAAAAAAGTTAATACAATCCTGGGTTGTATAAACAGAAGCATAGAATCAAGATCATGTGAAGTATCGCTTAGTAAGGCCCCACCTGGAATACTGCAGCCAATTTCGGTCATCATACTACAAAAAAGATGTTGAGACTTTGGAAAAAATTCAGAGAAGAGCAACTAAGGTGATCAAAGGTCTGGAGACTAAAACATATGAAGAACAGTTGCAGGACTTGGGTTTGGCTAGTCTAGAGAAAAGAAGGTCTGGAGGTGATATGATAGCAACTTTTCCAGTATCTCAGGGGCTGCCACAAAGCAGAGGGGGTCAACCTATTCCCCAAAGCACCAGAAGGCAGGACAAGAAACAATGGTTGGAAACTAATGAAAGAGAGAAGCAACCTGGAA